TCATACAGAGTAATTTCACTGCCTTAAAAATCCTCTGTCCTAATGACTGGGTTTTTTACAAATGAAATCGGATTCAAGCTCCAGATTCCAAGTTTTCAGCAGACATAGACATTTTCTCTAGAGACCAGCAGTTAAATTCTACTGTCAAAATCAAAAGAGTTTAAGCTTTTTCTTCCTTCTGACACTAAAAAAATTTTTTTAAATGTTTTTTGAGAAATAAGGCTGCGTTAGAGATAAAGCATTTTTGCCTTATCTTCAGAAGCAGGGCTTCTCCATTTTTGTGCCCACTGGTGAAAGGTCACAGACAAATAATCAGTCATGTTGCTAGAATGTTCTTTGAGAGCTACGAAGGAAACAGAAAAGCTTAAGAAAGTTGAACTGAGGAATTTCTGAATAGGCTGCACATCTGAGGTGGCTCCGGGCGGCCAATTTTTTTTTTTTTTTTTTTGAAAACAGTGAATAAATTGCTCAAGAAATTAGCTGTCAATAGCAGGGGTAGGAAAACCCAGCCAGAGCTCTAAGTTTGGCCAAGGATCTCAAACTGCTTTCCAGATATTTGGGGCTCAGTAAACTCTAACACATTTTCCCCAGCAACTTCTTTTCCCCTTTAATTTCCAAACCCTGAAATTACAAGAGGACTTTGATATATGCTTTTCAAACATTACTTGATATCAAGCAAGCAGATAAGCATTTTCTGATTGTTTTAATGGAAGGATTTTCAAGAAACTAACATTTGATTTTGGTGATTGCGATATTTTCCCATATTTAAAGTTTGCACACTCTGTATGCCGAGGGTGGACATTTACGGTTGAAAGCTCATGAGAGAAACTTACATTTTCACAGGGAGGGAGGGAGACACAGAGAGAGACACAGAGAGACAGAGAGCGGGGGAGAGGGAGAGAGTCTACAGGAGTTTCAGGAGACCTACGCTTAGAAAGCTGGGAGGAGAGAAATATCTAGTAAGGTAGAGAAAATGCAGCCCTTGCCTTTCACCTTGGGGGAGACTGATGCTGTCTAAGGCCAGTTGGACAACAGTCAGAACAGGCATTACAAATAGATGAATAAGTTGTTAGAATCCGTCTGCTCCGCTCTGAATATTTTCAGGACTGACTGGATCCAGAGTTGTGTGCTTCAAAACACAACTACATCTGACTGCTCTTCATCAAAAGTCACGGCTGCCTAGAAATCCATTCCCAGAAGTCCCGCTCTTGTGCCCCATGAGGGTGTGACCTGTCACTCCTTCCTAACTGCCTTCTCGATCCTCAGCTCTCATCATAACCATTGCCAGAAACTTCCCACCATCTTGGGGTCTGACCTCAATCCCAGACAAATGACCAGACCATCTGACTCTCCACTAGCTTAGCTCTGAAACCAGATTTTGTTTTGAAGGGCGGGGAGTCCATGTGAAAATGTTGTTCTCTGTCATCTTGACCTCACACCGTGGAGCTCCTGCTAATGGCAACACCAGCTCATCCTCCCATTTCCACCCAAGCGTCCCACTAAGCATCTCTCCATGGACATTCTACCTACACAATACAGCTCATCACCCTGCAGGTGCAAACCCCCCTCTGTGGATTACACAGGGGGTCTCCTACAGGGAATGTTTTGAGAGAGTGATGGAAAAAGTCCCCTTTGACCAAAAATGACTCCCTCAGAAGCCTGCCATGGGACTGAAAAGTCCACCATTCTTTTCTCTGGATTAAAACATGGAAGGCAACTGTCTAGGGAGATGGGGAACTGGTGAAGTCATAATCGACCACAGGCACGCAGGCTAAAATGAACTTATCAAATTCGCTCTGGCCACCAGCAGGGCTAATGAAAATGGATCATGGACACAAAATATTTGTTTAGATATGACAAGGAAAGATGCCTGGGGCACGTGGGGCTGAGCAATCAAAATGTTTCTCCTTAGAAAAGGGAACCCGCCTGCACTGTTGGTGGGAATGTAAATTGATGCAGCCACTATGGAGAACAGTGTGGAGGTTCCTTAAAAAACTAAAAATAGAGTTACCATATGATCCAGCAATCCCACTCCTGGGCATATATCTGGGGAAAATGTTAATTCAAAAAGATACATTCACCCCAATGTTCATAGCTGCATTATTTACAATAGCCGAGACATGGAAGCAACCTAAATGTCCCTCGACAGATGAATGGATCAAGATGTGGTACATATATACAATGGAATATTACTCAGCCATAAAAAAGAGTGAAATAATGCCACTTGCAGCAACATGGATGGACCTAGAGATTATCATACTAAGTGAAGTAAGTTAGAACAGAGAAAGACAAATATCATATATCACTTGTATGTGGAATCTAAAACAAAATGATACAAATGAACTTATTTACAAAACAGAAATAGACTCACAGACACAGAAAACAAACTTATGGCTACCAAAGGGGAAAGGGGAGGAGGGATAAGTTAGGAGTTTGAGATTAACAGGCACAGGGAACTATATTCAATATTTTGTAATAACCTAAAATGGAAAAAGAATCTGAAAAAGAACACATACGTATGTATTATATATCTGAATCACTTTGCTGTACACCTGAAACTAACAACATTGTACATTAACTATACTTCAGTAAAAAAATGTTTCTCCTTAGTTATGGGAATAATAAGGAGGTGGGCAGGCGTTAGGAGACAAAACAAGAGTACTACGTGCCCCTAGAAGAACCTAACCCCAAGGAGAAGACACACAGGTAGGAAAAGATGATGCAATGACCATGAAAACAATGCTGCAGTCATCATTCAGGGAGAAGACAGAGTGTTAGACATTTACAATATGGCCACTGATTTGATTATCATGATCCTTATACTAGGTAGGTATTCTCATTTCCATTTTACAGATGAGTATACTGAGGCTCATAGAAAATTCATCCCTTACCTTATTCACACAACTAATAAGTGGCAGGTTGTGGGTTCAAGCCCAGATCCCCCTCCAAAGTCATCATCATTCCATTTGGTCACACCATCTTCCTAATAATGTCTTAGCTGTAGTATAGTTAGGGGCGCACATGTGTGCTTTCTCAGGGAAAAAGAAAGAGAGAGAAGGAAAAATTCCACTAGATTTCAGACTAGAGGCTTGGCGCAGAGAAGCAGCAACGTCACTGAACTCAACGGACGACTGTTCCTTAGCCTCACGCCCCACGATTCACCTAAGTCTGTGGCTCCCAACTGGGTACTCAGAGGTATTGCAAGGGGTCTGTGTATCCATATGTACATTGAACCTTGTCTGCAGACAACATACATCACGGACATCTACTTCTGTGACTGATAATGTACCAGTTGATTCAAAAGTGTTATTGAATTCACGGGAGATATTTATCATTGTATATTTCCCAACCCAGGAATATTAAAAGCATAATTAGAATCATATGAGATGGGAGTTTTTGTTATTAAAAGGGGATTTTCAAGCCTACAATCCAGAAATTCCATTCTTAGATATATACTCAACAGAAATGCAGCAATGTGTTCATCCATAGACGTTATACAGGAATGCGCATAGAAGTGTATTCATAATTTCCCCAAAGCGGAAACAACCCAAATGCCACCAAGAGCGCAGTGGATAAATACAGTGTCGAACGATTATACCACGGAATACAAGGCAGCAGCGAATGAGAGCAGACCACAGCCGCACACATCAACAGGATGAATCTCACAATGGGATGTGGAGCGAGGACGACAGAAACCTAAAAACAGCCCTCTATGTAAGTCCACTTATATAATATTCAAAGACAAGCGAGACCAATCTGTGCTGCTCAAAGTCAGGAGAGAGTTTACCCTGAGGTGTGTAATGGAACTTGAGTGATGGGGGCTTATAGTGTTCTGTTTCTTGATCATCTGGATGTGGGTTATGGGAGTGTATCCAGTTAATGAACATTCCTTGAGCTGTGCATGTGATTTATATGTGTTTTTATATTGCTATTTTAATAAAAGATTTTTTAAAGCAGAGGCAGTCATACCTATAAGATACATGACCACCGCTCTCTGTAAAGGTTCATCCCAGCCAGGTGCCTCCCTATTTTCACCCTGGCCATCTCCCCAACTTCAAATCCCCCACCCCACCCTCTCTGCCTATAAAAACCATTTCTTGTTCTTTCAGACTCAGCTCTGTCACACCACCTCCAAGGAGCTTTCTCCCATTCTCTAGCCAGAAGTGAATTCTTGCTCCCCAAGCCCCAGAGAGCTTTAACGGCAATCTCTCTGATGACAAAGCAGAGGCCCCCAGAGCCTAGTATAGCACAGTGCTTGCCAAATGATAGGATAACAACAAAGGTCTTCTGTTGTTGTAATAACCTCCACATCTTAACCTCCTAAAGAAGGATTTATGTTCACCTTACTTCCTGCCCTCAAGAAACTCATAGTCTTGGAAGAAACGTATGTCTGCTAACTTTGTATTGCTCACCAGACCCAACCCATTACCATGCATCCAGCAGGTGCTCAGGTAATGAATGAAGACATATGTCACCTGTACAAAGAACTTGCAATGAAAGATACCTTGAAGATCTCAGCAATTCTAGATCATACATGAACAAAGGAAAATAAAGAAGAATTCGATATGAACATTGCCCTTTCCCCCCCGGTGGCTGGTATTTTATCGGATTGATACTAGACTGAATACCCCTTTGGGGGTCCAATGATCTCTACAGGCAAAAATGTGCTTTTGTTTTCTACAATAAGAAAACTGAAGGGTGCTAAGATGTTTTGATCGTGGGGATGAAAAGCTCAGCCCAGTTCCAAGCCCCTTGGATCAACCTTGGCACACACTTCCACCACGAGGAAAAGGCATCCGACAACAAAACCGACAAGGCCACATCCCAGGAAAGATGACAGAAGTGGCATAGACGGATAAACCTTCAAATCCACTTCAGCCTGGTGCCCCGGGAGGGGCCACGGTATTTCTGAAGGGTCCCCAGAGAGTGATCTCAGTCTACCCTTCTGCCTCCTTCCTTCCCTTTTTCCTCCCCTTTTCTCACTAAACTGCACAGGACAAATTCACTGTGAAATGATTTTTTTTTTAATCATTAGGGCAAAATGAGCGAGGCTGGAGCGCTAAGATTCCTGAATTAATAATATTGCTGCCATCCGTGATTTGGGCTTTCTCTTTTCTGTTGGCAGAAGCCAACACATGAGGAGATATTTTCCAGCATCACAGTCAAACTGTGCATTTTTAGACTTGTGGGCAGGCTGAGTGATCTCCAGCCAGAGTCTCAGCCCTCAGTCCTACATTCCAGTGTCATTCTCTGACCACAGCATCATTTCTGGTCTCCCCCAAGTCATTGCTTCGGAGAAAATGAAGCGTGTTTTCAGAATTTAATTTAAGAATAACCCAGGCAACCTAAGGCCAACTGACAAGGTAGTGGGTCCAGTCAACAGCAGGAAGGGCAGACATTGAAGACAGACGTGGTCAGCACCTCCCACCAATGAGACCTTTTATGCCTGCATTGAGAATTTCATCAAAAGTTGGGGTGTATAGGTCCAAGCAGCTTCAAGTGCCCACATCTTTTGCTTTTTATTCCAATCACAAGAAAACAGAGCATGTGAGTTAAAACATGTATTCCAGGTATCATTACCATTCAGGTATCAACTGGAATTGCATTTCTCACGGAAGCCTAGCCAAAGCCTTGTTCAAGCTAACATCCTTCCTTCAGAGATTTTACCGCAATTGTCATTTGCTAATAGTTACTTGGGCAATCCAGGAGGGCAAGGATTGAAGTTGTCTTGTTCGTGGCATCGGTGGTACCTGGGAAATACTTGGTATAGTTAACACATGCTAGTTGGCTACACAGACTACTAGGACACAGCAATCAGCAACACCCCCCCCCCACCATGGTTGGAAAGCAGGGAAGCAAGAGAAGTGTTCTTCATGCTCGTGGTGAATCCATGATCAAATTTTCCTTCCTTTTTCTTTCTCCCAGACTTCAGGGCCCCAAAGTGTCTCCTGTCCCTAATTTATGGCACCACCATCCTCCAAGTTAATCGGTTTCAAAACCTAAGAAGCATCATTGGTTCCGTCTTCCTTGTCAGTCTGCCTACTTCCGACTCATTGATGCTACCTCTAAAAGCTTTCTTCCAGCCGCCTGCCCCTCTCCTCCAACTCGTATCACTCCTACCCAGGGTCTTGTTCCCACTCTCCTGGACATCGAACTGGCCTCTGACCGTCACTCTTGCTTTTAACCAAATCTCTTCATTTCTAGCTAGCAGATCATTCTTGGTACTTTCAGATCACCCCCTCCTAGAAAAAACACTCGTGAATTCCTCACACTCAGGAATAAAATGTATGAATTTTATGAATTACATGAATAAAAGGTAAATGCCATACTTTGGAATACTCCTCGGTCCCCAAGCTGTCTCCAACTTCCCTCCAGATGATCTTTCTATGTCTAGTTGAAATGCCATTTTCATGCAGGAAGTCTTTCCTAAATCCATCTCCACCTGAAAATGCAACCAAATGCTGTCACCACATTTTTGGGAATTTTGTAAATGTTTAATGTTATAAATTCTAAAGTACCTCCTAAATCGTTCCCATTAGTCTGGAAAGATCTTCCAGCCACAATCTAGACCATCCTGGTCTTTGTTTACTCCCAAATGCCTAACACTATGCCTGGCGCAGAGCAGCTTTTCAAAAACTACTTCTGGAGCTTAATTAAATTCATTCCTTCATTCATTCTTTCAAACGTGCAGTCTCTGTTTACCCCAGGGATAAGAGGTAGAATAATTATGTGACCTCAGACACATAACTTCCATCCTTCTATAGTTTCTTCATCTGCAAAACGAGCTCTGCTGTGGACCAAATAAAATAATGCGCGTGAAGCACTTAGTGTCTGACGCATAGTATATGCTCAATAAATGTTAACCTCTTATTATTATTATTTCACAAGGCAGTCTGTCCACTGTGGGGCAGCTATGGTTACTAAAACATTTTTTTCCCCAATTCTGAGCTAAAACAGACCTCCTTATAACTCCTCTCCACCGACCAGAGCTTCTTTGCCTGTGGGCAACAAGCAGGCTCAGCTACACTTTTAAAAACCTAATTCGCAGCCCCAGGCCTGGAATGAAGGGAAGAAAACTGGGGTCAGCTGGGGAGAGAAGCTGGAATTCATTAAATCCATGGGTTTCTGAAAAGGGCTAAGGTTCTGTAAGTTGGTGTTCATTTTCTACCTTAGGACTTTTGCTCTGGGAGTCCAATATACTGCTTAAATTTCTCTTATTTCCTTCAGCTGTAGGATTTGGGTAAGCAAGGAAAATTCTGCAAAATGACTTCACCATTGGCAGTCATTTGCCCTTGGCCAAATTGGCTTGCAGTTACTCTAAGAATGTCAGGAGTTTGCAAATTAGCTTAGGCCGCCTGATGCTAAGTAGTCCCCTTGGGGTGGGTCGTGTCCATGACTTGAGTCTCGCACAAGATGGATCCAGCTGCCCTGAAGAAGCGTGTGCCCTGCTGTCCTCACTTCCCCCCCAGCACCTGGTTCAGCTCCTGCTGGGAACCATGACACCTCAGGACTTGTTTTCATTTCTCCAGTTTCCCACCCCCTCTTCCACTGGACTTTGTACCCCTTTGTACCTCTGGGTTAATTATTTTTTTAATAAATGGCCTTCAACTGACAGAAGGCTCCTCTCTTTAAGGCACCAGGCTTCTCCCTTTCGTCCGTGTGCTCTGTTCGGCAGTGCTGTAAGTTTGCACAAACCAAGCTGTGCAGAAGCTGCCACACCCACCCACAGGCATAAGAGCTGATGACATCACAAGCTAATCCTGAAGTTCAAGAAGAGTCTGTAACTCTCCAGGGGTAGCAATGGCTTCTTTTCAGCTAGCTTCAGAGTAATCCATCGTTTTCTTCAACTCAAGCACGTTAGGAGAATGAACTATGTAGTATTTCTACACAATTCACTGAGGATCTACTCTAACTCACAGCCTGACAGCATAGCCTCCTAACCCACTTCCGCCTCTACTTTTGTCCTCTATAATCTATTCTCTACCAGACCCCAGAGTGATTTTTTTTTTTTTTTGCGGTACGCGGGCCTCTCACTGTTGTGGCCTCTCCCGTTGCGGACGCGCAGGCTCAGCGGCCATGGCTCACGGGCCCAGCCGCTCCGCGGCACGTGGGATCTTCCCGGACCGGGGCGCGAACCCGCGTCCCCCGCATCGGCAGGCGGACTCTCAACCACTGCGCCACCAGGGAAGCCCCAGAGTGAATTTTTAAAAGATATAAGTCATAATATCTTACAGTCTTGTTTAGAAATGTTCCACAGCTTCAACTATATTCCAAATGAAACCACGGCTGTCCAAGCTTTATATACCTTGGTTCCTGAAGTTTCTCTGCTCCCTCACAGCCCGCTGCCCTTTGCCTACTACACGCAAATGCCTCCCAGTTCCTCAAATGTATCAACTCCGTTTTGGCTACGGGCCCATAGTTTTTGTACTTCCTCTTCCTCCACCTGGATTCTTCTTCCCCAAGTTGTAAATATACGTCTCAGGCGCATATTTTTGCTCCCACCTTACATTTAGCTTTCTCTGAGAACTGTAAGCTGCGAAGGTGCTCTTTAAATAATTCAGCTTATTTTCCTTACATCAGACTTCTTGGGATCGCCATGATTTATGTGGTCAATGGCCCCAATTCTCTATACATAAATAAGAAGTCTAATGAGAGTCAACAAATATAACTGGCTTCATTGCCCAGTGTGGGGAAAATATATCAATCCTACAGTCATTAAACGAATGTGAATCATATATAAAAGTTACCGACATAACAGTCACAGAGCGCCAGGGAAAAGGATTCAGAAGAGAAGACACTCCCTTCCCTTTAGCAGGGTGTTGCTCACTTTGTAAGAAGGAAACCTTACCCACGATGGAGCTTCTCACTGCCACTGGAAGAGGCAAGTTTGATGGGATTGCAACAATAAGCTGTTTCTTTAATATTCCAATTTCCTTCTAGGATTGAATTACCAGCCTACTTCATACTCCTCAGATGTCACAGGGGCAATAAAACTAATCAGAAGAGGAATTTCTCCTTGACCACTGTCCACAGTCCGTTCCCTCAAAGGCAGGCTCTTGATACAGAAACTTCTCTCAGTGCTGAACAAATAAGCCTGTGGCTTGTCAAGTTAGCAACAGGCGTGTCCAAGATTCACAATGCCTAGAAGCTGAAAACACAAAAATAAAAGTCAAAAATAAAATAGTAAAAATAGTAGCAATATGAGTAAATCCTAGCATATAGTAAGTGTTTATTCTGTGCCAGAAGTGATTCTAAGCCTTTCTTATATGTTATTTCATTTCAATCCCATATCCATTGCTTGAAGATGCCAATATTACCTCTCCATTTTACAGATGAGAAAACGGAGGCACAAAGAGATGAAATAAACTAGCCCAGGGTCATTCAGGCAATGAAGTGGAGTGTCAGAATTTGAACCCAAGACATCTGACTTCAACACCTTCATCTTAACAATTTACTGCTCCTCCGTGTGCCAGAGAGGCTTGGAGGTCAGCACATCACCAACACTGCTGACAACACCCACGTACTCTGAGTCCCAGAGGGACAGGGTTTGCGGAAGTGGCCATGCAAGGCCTCTGCCAACTTGATGAAATCGTGAGTGACTGAGAAGTGTGATGGGTCCACTCCACCCCGTGCCATACAATCGCCCAAAACGTTCCAGGAATTCTTGCAACATCTCCCCTCTCTTCCACTGGGCAGGTCTTTTGTACCTAACCCTTGTCTGTGCCGTTTCAGGAGACACTCCACCATCAATTTCTTCTGTTTCATCGTGTAGCCAACGATTGTTCTCAGTCTTATTTCTAATCACGTTGGCCCCATTACCCATTACCTACTGAACCACCTGGGTTTGATTCCCAGTGTTGCCACTTACAGTTTGGGGAAACGAACATGTCACTTACCCTCATCTAAGGTTAGGGGTCTTCATCTTACATCGGACTAAAATAAGTTTCTTACAATGTTCTTTTGAGGATCTAGTTCATAGTGACTGCTCAAGAAAAAAAAATGGTAGCTATGTGGCAAAATAAAGCACTTAGCATTTAAGACCTTCTGTGTGCATGGCTCCTACCAACCTTCCCAAGTTTATCCTACATGAATGCCCTTCAACAAATACTGCTACCTCTGGGGTTCACCGGCTCTCCTCTAGACCAGCATTCCTCCAGGGGTGGTCCTTGGATCCTCTGCATCAGATTCACATGACATGTCCTTAAAATTCACATCCTTAAGCCCCACCCTGGCCTTGTTAATCAGAATTTCTCAGGATGGTTCCTGACTACCTTCATTTTTAACAGGCTCTCCAGGCAATACTTACGAAGCCCTACGATGTAGTCCCACTTGCCTTGTCTACGACAAGATTCTCTGTGCCTGAGACTCCTTCCCGCTCTCATATCCATCACCCAAATCCCACCGATAATTCAAATCCTGACTTATATTTCTCCTCCTTCATACAACCATTCGAGATTCCTCCCTCCAGAAAAAATGTGTCCCTGCTCTGGGTTATCGTGGCCCTTATTCATGGACATGGCGACTGTCCCCAACGTTTTCAAGCTCCTAGAGGCGACAGTCAGTATGTAAATCGCGCTAGCATCTCCAAAGTTATCTCTCACAGGACTTCTCACAGAGTAGGTGCTCCGTGAAAATAACTGAATGGGCAGGATAAAGCCCAATCCCAATATTTTTAGATCTTCTTGATAAATTAAGTAATAACCGACTCACTTGAAGAAGAGAAGGGAAGCTGACTGAGCAGACTTTATTTGTTTAAATAAATTTATTTATTTATTTATTTCTGGCTGCGTTGGGTCTTCGTTGCTGTGCATGGGCTTTTCTCTAGTCGCGGCGAGCAGGGGCTACTCTTCTTTGCAGTGTGTGGGCTTCTCATTGCAGTGGCTTCTCCTGTTGCGGAGCACGGACTCTAGGCGCACGGGCTTCAGTAGTTGCGGCATGGGAGTTTCAGTAGTTGTGGCTCACGGGCTCTAGAGCGCAGGCTCAGTAGTTGTGGCGCACGGGCTTAGTTGCTCCGTGGCATGTGGGATCTTCCCGGCCCAGGGATCGAACCCGTGTCCCGTGCATTGGCAGGCGGATTCTCAACCACTGCACCATCAGGGAAGTCCTGAGCAGACTTTATTATCTTTCTCTCCTCCCCTTCTTCTCCCTGATTCCTGCTGCCCCTTTATTCCTTAGCCCAAGTCTTAGAGTGGCACACTTGAGGCTGGCTGCCAAAGTTAGGTCATTTCTCTTTCTATTTAAGAGTAGGAAAAATAGGAAATCAATATAACAATAATAAACCGTGTAATGTCGTCAGATTTCCCTGGTATAGGCTCCTGTTTAGCTCAAAGGGCTGGAGACATTTCCCCAGCCTCTTGGTTAGATTCTGACTTTGTGAACGCTGCAGGTTGGTTGCTGTTCTCAGTACAGCTAAGCAGAAACACTCACTCACTCAATTTGCTCCCTTGTTAAAGCACCGCAGTACTTTCCACTCCTGCATCTTAGGCAGCTCAGGCTGCTAGAGCAGAACACCACAGGCTGGATGGTTTAAACAATAGACAATTATTTCCCACAGTTCTGAAGGCTGGAAGTCTGAGATCAGGGTGCCAGCATGGTCGGGAGCTTGGTAAGTATCCTCTTCCTAGTTTATAGACCACCCAGCATCTCACTGTATCTTCACGTGAGAGAGAGAGAGAGAGAGAGGGAGGGAGGGAAAGAAACAGCATGTCTCTCCTGTTGCTTCTTTTAAGAGCATTAATCCCATTCATGGGGGCTCCACTCTCATGACCTAATTACCTTCCAAAGGTCCCGCCTCCAAATACCATCACGTTGCAGATTTGGGCTTCAATATATGACTATGGCGGGGGGGGGGCGGTGCGGAGGGACACAAACATTTAGTTCATAACACCCCAAGCGCCATGATCTCAGTACAGCTCATCCTGAGTTTTGCTGGAAAGGGCACACCTTACCCCCAGGCAGTGGCAAGCAAAATGGCAGTGACTATGCCACTGTAAGTTCAGACCCAACAGTGCAATCACATTTCAATAAGGCGAGAGCAGGGATAATCACTTTCCCTCCACACTCATCTCACTCACTGTGCTCCAGCCACTTCGCTCACCCTGCAGTTCTTCAAACACACCAAGCTCCAAGCTCTTTCCCATCTCAAGCCCTTGCCAATTCCCTCTGCCTGTGATGCCCTTCCGCTATTCCTATAAATATACAAACCTTTCCTTTAAATCATCTTTCCTTTGAGCATCAGCTTAAATATACAGTCTGCAGAGGGAGCTTCTATGGTTGTATTTTTTTTTATTATTAAAGTAACCTCCTTTCCCAGTTCATTCCTATTTCACCCCCTTTTTATTTCCTTCTTGACATGTACCACAATCTCCAATTCTTGTATTCATTTTTTAAATTTGCTGGCTCCTTGTCGGTCTTTCCAGAAAGGATAAAAATGGAACAAGGCCAAGAACTGTGTCCATCTTGTTCACCATTCCTGACACATAGTAGCAGCTCAATGAATATTTGTTGAATGATTGAATAAAATAATTACACAGTATATAATCATAAGGAAAGGGGAGTCACACAACAAAAACATCAAATCTTTTATTCATATATAATGTTATAACCAGGAGATAATCATCTTATTTAATTTTATAACAATATCAGATTTCAACATGAACTCCCTGATTTAAGTTATTTTGTTGCTAAAAGGAACAGGTCCTCCTCTTTATCCTGGACTGTGATTTGCCATGATACTTATTCTATAGACTCTGAATAATAAATCTCATTTCTCCCAATGGAATTCAACTCCTAGAGATTAAAAGTTGACATCCTTACGAGACATCAACCAAGAAAAGACAACTTGAAGAAGCAAGTGTGGCTATTTTAGAAGAAAAAAACGTCTACATTCTGTTTTGACTTTGCAAGTCTCAAAGAATACTTTCATGACAATGCATGGAGAACTACGTGAAATTAAATAGCCACAGTGGAATGTGGATTTAATTGCTTGAATTGCTGCATTAGCTAAAATAAAACAGCTGTGATCACACTCTGGGGTAAAAACCATTGTTCAACAAAGACTTCTATTAAAGATCACCCCAGTGATGAGTCTGGCTTTCTAAAATCAGGCATACCCCTTCCTGGACCACACGTTGTCCTTAGGGTAACAGTGATTTCAATTTGGGGGGCATGTGGGTTAGAGAAACGTTGTCTGTGCCATAGGGCAGGGCACAGGACTGCTTGATAGATTTTTCTCTTTTCCCCCAAATACACAGCTCAAGTTACTCAAAATTACTCAGCAAAGCAAATTCCTTTCATATTTCCATAATCCCAAGACACAGGAAAGGTGTTGGGCTGGCTGCTGGGGCTTTTAGAGTTCCAATGCACTAAAAGATGAAACTAGAAGCAAACTGTGTCCAAGTTCTTCCCAAAGAATCTGTGTGAATAGACCCTGGTCCCTGAAAAAAACGAGTCTCTGAGGTGGTGGTTTTTGATATTTCTCGGGATCAGAAACCACCTTGACATAATAAGAAAGCCATAGAGACTTCCACAGAACATTCTTGAATGTACTAATACAAAGTTTGAAGCCTAGTCTCCAGAAACTCTGTGAACACCCTAAAATTATCCATGGGCCACAGACTCAGAACTCTTGTCCTAAAATGCAGAAGCAGGGCTTGAGACGGGGAAAGCCAAGAATTCAAATGTTTTTTTCACCAACCACCATCGTGTACCTACTCTAAATAACTCTGCCACACACCACCTCTAACCCATCTGCAGACCTTGAAACGTGTGATCAATATCATGGCAAGTAAATAAGTAGAAGGGAAAGTTTGAGGGAAAGCACAGAAGGGCAATTAAGCAGAAAGCCAAATTTTTAAACTCTTAATATTCTGTCCAGTCCTCCATTCCTAAGATTCTGTTCCATTGACCTCACAAGTCAGTCACTGTCAAAGTCAAGTGTGCCTCAAAGTCAACCTGAGAAGGTTACCTTAAAATGCAGATTTCTAAGCTCACCTGGTTTCTGATTCAAAGGGATTCTGTAGTTTTTATTAAACACCCAGATGCTTCTGAAGCTGGCGGCCGCTTAAACCACAGTTTCAATTACTTCCAATCCTGTTTCTCAGCGTCTAAGAAATCCCAATATTTCAGGATCCAAAATACATACCCCTT